TATCCAACATTTCTTCCTCCTATTTTCCCCACAACAACCACCCAGTGAGGTGGATTGGGCTGAGAGCGAGTAACTGGCCCATAGTCCCCCAGGGAGCTTTCCTGATTAAGGCGGGACTAGAACTCACCATCTCCTGGTGATTGGCCCAAAGTCACCCTGACAGCTTTCATGATTAAGGCGGGACAAGACTGGTTATAAATATAAATTACACATTTATATATATGAAGTGACTAGGAGTCAAGGAATTCTGGGAGTTGAAGTCCACTGCTTCAGATGTTTGGGGAATCAGCCACAGGATTCCCAGAATCCTCTCTCCCTACCCAGGAATTCTGGGAATGGATGTCTCCAAGATCCCATTCCAGAGGAGGCCGCCCCTCCCTTTCTCCAGCGAGGCAGCCCACCTCTTCCACCAGGAGGGTCTCCAGCTCCTTCTTGCAGTCCTCCAGCCGCTGATGGTCGGCGCTATCCACCACCCAGATGAGCCCATCGGTGCTCTCAAAATAGTTGCGCCAGTAGGAGCGCAGGGACTTCTGGCCCCCCACGTCCCAGATATTCAGCTTGAACCTGCGGGGGAGAGAGAAAGAGAGGCAAGGCAGAGGTGGGAGAGCCAGGCCGGGGAGGGGGAATCCAGGAGAAGGACGGGGTGGGGGGATCCTCACCCGCGATGCTCCAGGGTCTTGATGTTGAAGCCCAGCGTGGGCGAGATGGTGTCAATCTCGTCTCCATTGAACTTTTTCAAGATGGTGGTTTTGCCGGCATTGTCCAGGCCCCTCAGGGCGGCCCGAGTCAAGGATCGTAAGCAACAGTGTTAAAAGCAGGACAGCATTAGAGCAGTGGTTCTCAACCTTTTTAATGCCGTGACCCCAACCGGTCGTAAGTCAAGGACTAAACCGGTCGTAAGTCGAGGACTAAACTGGTCGTAAGTCGAGGACTACCCAACCGGTCGTAAGTCGAGGACTTTCCCTGCCCGGGAGCGCCACGCATGCGTGGTTCCGCTCCCTGCGCCAGCCGAGACATAGCTGGCAAGCGGCAGAGACGGAGCAGGCCGACCACCAGCTGGCCCAGCCCAAGGGAGGTAAGGCACCCGCCGGAAAAGGGGGAAAAAATGGCGGACAAAAAAAATGGTGGACAGCCTTGCTTGGCGACCCCTGTGAAATGATCGATCGACCCCAAATGGGGTCCCGACCCACAGGTTGAGAACCACTGCATTAGAGGAAGGTGCCAAGCTGCTGGCAAAGGAAAACCGCAGAGGAGGGAAAGGCATTTGAATCCCTAGCCACTGCTGCCAAGTCCCGCCAAAGCATTTTCTGTGCCCCTAAACGTAAAGGGCTGTGCCTTGCCTGGGAAGCACAGAGCAGGCAGGGATTGAGCCCCAAGCACTCTGCCCATGCTCAAGGGCACTCTTGGCCAGGCAAGTTGCGGGATGGAAACGCTGCCTGGGGAGGGAGCGCAGCCCCAAAGCAAGCTCCTCTTTCCTGGGATGCAAAGTCAAGGCTTCCCCCGCCTTTCCCAACTCGACCCACCCGCCGCCTATTCCCGGTTTCCCCCCACTCCTCCAGTCCTCCTTTTCCTCGCGGAAGGATACAGCATCAGCAGGCGCAGCTCCCGCTCCTTCTGTCGCATCTTCTTCAAGATGCTCAGCAGCCCCATCGCCCGCGCGGAAGCTTTGCTCGCGCTCCGCCCTTTGCCGGGATGCCGCGCGCGTGACTCCGCCGCTCAGAACTCCGCCTCCGCCAATCAGGAAGGTCGTGGGGCGGTCCCGGCTGTAGAGGAATATAGAGGAGGAGATGTATATCTACTTCCGGATCTCAATCGCAAATTTTGCTGGTTCCTGCACGGCAGCCAGGAGATGGCAGCGAAGGGACTTTAATTAGTCAGAACAGAGCCGGAAGGGACCTTGGAGGTCATCTAGTCCAACCCCCTGCTCAAGCAGGAGACTCTTATACCATTTCAAAACAGGTGGCTAGTCTTCGACGCGTTGGTGCTTTATGGTCCCTTTTAATTACATAAAAGTTGCCTTAGGCTTTTACTTGGTGGAAAGCAATTGTATAGATGCACACGGTTGTGTTGAGACTGTGTAGATGGCAGCTAAGAGACTTAACAAAATGATAGAGTTGGAAAGGACCTTGGAGATTTTCTAGTCCAACCTCCTGCACAAACAGGAGAACCTATACTTTGTGAGAGCAGTTGTGCATTTGTGTGGTTACTGCCTGGGTCAGAATACAGAATAACAAGAGTTGGAAGGGACCTTGGAGGTCATCTAGTCCAACCCCCTGCTCAAGCAGTAGACCCTGTACCATTCCAGATAAGTGGCTGTCGTCTCTTCTTAGCCTCCAGTGATGAAGCACCCACAACTTCTGAAGGCCAGCTGTTCCACTGATTGATTGTTCTCATTATTAGGAAATTTATCCTTATTTCTAAGTTATTTCTAGGGTGTTTGAGACAAAAGTTTTCTGTCTACTCAGAAGTAAAAGCCTTGAATCAAATTAATTTGATATTCTCAAATGGGTGGAAGATTTGGTGATTTAGTCACGGTTTCCATCGTCTGTGCATCTTTCACTTCAAAAGGAACCTGAAGTCGAATCTGCCCACAGGTCAGACCGTGTCCATTCACCGATGAGTCCCGCCCCCCTCCTGGTAGAGAAGACGAATCGCCAAGCTGGAGGATTGTCAAATCTACCCAAGGTAGATTTGCGAAACTTCAAAGAGATACGTGCTATTGCACTGAGAGTTTAAACCAGTGGTTCTCAACCTTTTTAATGCCGCGACCCCAACCGGTCGTAAGTTGAGGACTAAACCGGTCGTACGTCGAGGACTAAACCGGTCGTAAGTCGAGGACTACCCAACCGGTCGTAAGTCGAGGACTTTCCCTGCCCGGGAGCGCCGCGCATGCATGGTTCCACCTCCTGCGCCGGCCGAGGCGTATCTGGCAAGCGGCAGAGACGGAGCAGGCCGACCACCAGCTGGCCCAGCCCAAGGGAGGTAAGGCACCCGCCGGAAAAGGGGAAAAAAAATGGCGGACAGCCTTGCTTGGCGACCCCCGTGAAATGGTCGATCGACCCCAAATGGGGTCCCGACCCACAGGTTGAGAACCACTGGTTTAAACAGAGTTTTTTTTTTCCGGAGGGAAGCGATAGACCCAAAGAAATTAGGAAGAAAAAAAAAAACCTCAATTCTGTCTAAATTCGTTTTTTTACAACTTTTGTGTTATGTATTGATGTGAATTACTTGGAAACTGTTGGAAACGGTCAAACGGCTGTGTCTGTTTAAACTCCAGACTGTCTGTCTACATGTTAGTTTGTGTTTAAGCGGGAAATACTGCTTTAATTCTATTGGCCGCCGCCTAGCAATGATCTGTATAAATAGAGGTTAAGTGGCAGTTAGTG